CAATAGGAATCCATAAATAATTTTGAGTAGCTTGAAGTAAACCAACACCACTTTGCAAAAACCTCAGAAATACATATACAAGAATTGCCACCCATGGGAATATTACTAAAGACATAAGATAAAATAAATATAAATTCATTTAAAGTTAACATAAGAAAAAAAAATTTTTTTTGAAAATGAATTACCAACATCCCCGGTTAATTCATCAGTGATAATTTTAAGTTGTTTTGGAACAAGCACATTAACCACACGTCCAGAAATTAAAAGAGCAAAACATATAAAAACTAGGAACTGGAGAAAAGGTTTTTTATTTGGCCATAAGAAAGGAAGAAGGCGTAGCATTTTTTCATAAAAATCAGTAACTGCACTCTTCTTTGGTTGACTACTTTGCGCAGGTGAAGTATTATCACCTTCAGCTGAAGGAAAAGTGCCATAAGACGAGGAATTCTCAAGAAGACTTTGGTCATTTTCAGCATCTTCTTGGTCCAAAGTAATTTGAAAAGCACGAACCAATGATACCATACTAGCAATGAATAAAGCAACATAACGAATAACAAATATACAGAAGAAAGCAAGGTCATAATTTGAAGCAAAATGTCCTAATGAAGACATTAATTAATAAATATATAACATTATAATAATTAATTAGAAATTAAAATGTTAAAAAAGTTGATAAGAAATAATAATCAATTGTTTTGGGTAAGAACTTACTAGATTCACCATTGAATTCGGAAAACCACAGATAAAATATTAGAGCCTCTCCGGTTAAAGAAACCCAATAGAATAAATAATTTACCCAAGACCATTTTCCAAAATTTTGTCTTTCTAATGCCATTAAGCTCATATTCATAATCCAAGCAATCAAACAAATAACATCATAATAAACTATTACAGTTGAAGTCCATGTTTTTGATTCAAGAGCTCTGATAATAACCGCCACACAATCAGCGAGATATGATAAAAGTACAATGTCACTGAAACCGTATATAGTTCTAATTAAAGGAGTAAGACGTCTTCGCGAAAGTCTATTATTATTTAAAGGGGAATAACCAGACGGGTTTCGATTGATATAAAAATATCGATAACCACCAAATATTATAATATAAAGTAGAAGACATGATGGATAAATGACCATTTCTCTTACAACGCATGGATTATAAATCCCATTTTCGGGAGGTGTTGGACAAGAGAAAGGTGATGCCTCCATGATGATACTGTAGAAGCGTTCAAGATTTGTAAATCACTTTTTTGATCAAATTATAGTTTCAGCCCTTGTTTTTATATGTTTTGCATCGTATTACACTATTTAATTTATCATGCGATTGGACGATATCGGATAAATAAAGAAGTATGTTACAGTTACATTGTATTTTAAAGTTGAATTAGTAATATCAAAATATCGAAATATTTAGAATAATATGATCTACGCATGAACTGTACATTCGTACTTACGTATACTTACGTATGCACTACGTACGTACATATATACGCAATCTCCTAATATCGCACAAGAAACGGATCGGTTAGGTCGTTACAATTAGCGTTAGTACGTAAATATTGGATTGAAATACAAACAAATACGTAATAATGTGCGTAGTTCCCATAAACAGTTTATCCATTTTATCTATCAGATATCTGGTATCTGATATCCGATGGATAATTGGTTAAAATAGATGAATAATCTTAAATTCGGATAATTCATTAATTTTTCTTAAAATTTGATATTCAAGTCGACGCATTAGATTATTCGGTTAAATCTATATGGATATCGGATCAACAAGGAGGGAATCCGGATATAGTATATAAGTGGATATGGGTATTCTAAACAATGTCCTTACAAGTTTAGGGTGAACGCCACACGTAAATATCAGATATAAATAAATATAAGAACCCAAAGCTGAAATATCGAAAACTTTTAAGCTTTGTGAAAAATAACTGCAATCTTTGGTGTTTTATGACAGTATCGGTATAGTATTATTGCTCATAATTACAATGAAGTATGCAAGAAATTTTATAAATTTATTATAACAGAGAATTACAACGAAGTATGCAAGAAATTTATAAATTTATTATAACGGATAGACCATGCAAAATTTTTAAAATACACTAAAGCTGGATGGTTTAAATTTTTTGACTATTTTTTTCTGAATTCCAAAATTTCGGGATCTAATAATGCCCTTTGAAAACAAAATTTTAATATTTGTCCTTATGTCTATTAAAAAGAATCTTATGTGATTTTTTCACCATTCTATGTATTTTTCAATAAAATGGACAAAATGATACCAATACTGTTTTAAACAGTTATATAAAATCTATATAATTATTATACAAATATATATATATAAACAACAATTGATTTTTTATACGTAGTAATGGTAAGAATACGTACTAAAGTTAACCTAATAACTATCCTTGTTTCGGGCTGGTTTTACGGTACGTAGTGTCTTATTACCATTACCAATTTAGCCAAGATTGGCCCGTTTATTCGATATGCCGAGAGAATAGCATCTAGGAAGACATCCATATGATTGGTCAGTCAAAACGTGACTAAACCAATCATAAATATATTGACAAAGTTTGGATTTATGTCATTTTCACCAATATTAATCCACCTTATGGATAGGCAAAGCAATTTTGAAAGTAAATGATGACTTTTAATTATTCGAGCTCCACATCTCGATCGGAGCCTTTAATTATCAGTGAGTTATAGCTGATGTGGCCATTGTTCCAATTTGTGTTGGTCCCATATTTATTATCCCTTTAACAACAATAGCCAGGTATCGTCAACATATTTGTATGGCCTTAATGTTAGGCGTTAGGATTTTGTTTTTTCGTTTTGATTTTATGCCACACCTGATACCTGATCTTGACTTAATTTGACCAGATAACGATAACGAAATTTGTTACGCAGTTCATATGATAAGCCCGTTTTTAATAATAAATTGCAACGGTAGGCCTTTTTCAAACACCATTTTCAAGGGTTCTTAAAAAGGAAATCGCACTTACAAGACTAAGTACGACGGTTTAGCTACACAAATACTTTATTATTTTTTAGCTTTAACTGAGAAAATAATAAAGTTGTGAAAAATATCGCCTCCAAAAATAGCCATCCATTCTATTTTATATAGTAATTGCAATGCAACCGGACTTTCTTGCTTTGAAGCTTTTTAAGCAAAAACTTACATATCCACCCGAGATTATGAACCTTTATGACTGTTAGAAAGAAGCACGACTTAAGTATAACCTGATCATTTTGAAGAGGCACATAAGTATAATATTAATTAATCCACATATTATATAGGCCAGTGCAAAAAGATTTGTACCTCAAATAGTTATTCCTTAAACCGTTAAATGCCAAATTTGGCTGCTTAAATTTGTTTTAACTTATTTGTTTCTGTTTACTTTAAATTTTGTTAAGCTTCACCCCCTATTTTCTAAGCTAAAATAAAAGTGTACCACATGTGATTGCTATATAATTCTCATTTTATGAAATTTCTTGAATAATATTTCAAAAATTAGTTATTTAACATGGATTATAATAGAACTTTGATATTCAAATTTTATATTAAAAAAGAAATCTGCATGTGATATTTATAAAGATTCTTCACTTTTTTTTTTTTTTTTGGCATATCCTGCTACTGTTTTTATTAATATAGCAACCAAACAAAAATTACAAGAATTTTAACTATAGTTATTCTATTTTTAATTGCAACAGTAACTCACTCAATCTAAAAGTCCAGGTGTGACTTTGCCTAGTGGTCATTTGCCTCCTTCCAGGCTCCTAACTTCCTAGAGGCATGAATTCTTCAATCATTGGCCAGTGCCACATGCCATATCAGTATCATCTTTTCTTTTTACAAAAT